GGAATCTCCGGTTGCTGTTATTTCCAAGATATTTCAACATGCTGGTCAATTCCTCGCCTTTAGCTAGCTTTTGCACGCCTTTTACAAGGTATCTGGAAATTACAGGGGCCTTTAAACCCGATTTTTATTGATACCTGGCCTGTTGCTGCAGCATTACCATGTTTTCGCCTTCGTACGTGCACCCGGCTACTTCCACGGCTAAAAGATCGAGGCTATGAAGTAAAAAATGATGATGTACCGTAGATTTCCGGCAATCCACTAGCGTGTGAGTATCCATGGCCACCACAAGCCATTCGGCACTGTTCGATGCCTTTTCCGGCATCGAACGAGACAACGGACTTCATGCCGGAGAGGAGAGCGTGTAGGTCAGCGAGTTGATCGACCTGAAGTACGTAATTTACGATGTTTAGGTATTATTAAATCTTGGCAGTTACTGTGCTACGTGCCAAAACAAGCACCTTCTTTTGGTTTTCCTTATTCCTCTAAGAGCTCTGCTGATTGCCCATGTTTTTTCCGCTTTCTTAGGCTTGTTCAAAATTTCTTTAACAAAAATAACTGCCAAAAGATGCGCAAGAAATCAGAAGAAGATTATCGTGATCGGAAACAGACATTTCCCTGCTTCACATCCTCAGCGATCCTCTCGTAGATCTGCTTGATCTCCTGCCCGACAAGCCAATAGGCAAAGCCCCTAGCCATGGCGGTGAAAAGTCGATGCTGCTGCGTTTGATAGTCCAGGATCTTGACTTCACCGGCCCTTAAAACAATAAATAAAATAAATATGTAGACTATGAATTACCCTGGGGTGATCTCGCCTTGCTTCCTGATACACGAATATCGAATCGCAATTGTCGAAGCTTTCAGGAGACTGTGTGCCTGGAAATCAAAGTGGAATCTTGCAAGTTGTAGTTCGTAGTCATACCAGCATTCGAATCATTGTTGCCCTGACGAAAATCATGGCGCCATAGGAGAGTTTAGGATGGACTGGTGGGGAATAGGTGCCTTCAGGGGATACCTTAAAACACGAAATGTTGTATTGGATATGGATACGATACCTTTGAGTGTCTCATCAACATACTACGACGCGGGATTCTGACATGGTCAAATTTCAGGAACCCGTTGTCATTAGTGTTGAGGCCGAATTTGGGGCCAATGTCCCCGACGGTGATGCCTAAAACAGGTTTTACAAGCTTTAGCAAAAGTCACAAAATCGCCTTGACCCACAGCCACTGATTCCGCAATGATCCGTATTGACGCGTTTCAAAAAAATACCTGGCATTGGCTGATGCGTCTCCTCATCGCGAATCCGGACGAAAAAGTTGTGTGGTCCATAGTTCTTGCCGTCAATGTAGAGCTGAGCGTTGGCGACGACAACGTTTGCCGTTTTGCCGAGGTTTCCGGGCCACCTAGAGGTACAATTCGTTGAAGGGGTCGTGTAAGACAATGCTGCTAAGCCGATGTGACCTTGCTTATTGGGGGGGGGGCCCCCCTGGGGGGTTTGGGGGGCCCCCCCCCCCCCCCTTTTTTTGTTTTTTTCCCCCCCCCCCCCGGGGGGGGGGGGCCCCCTTTAAAAGTTAGTGTCATTTAGGTCAACCGAAGTCCACTTCAAACCCCCACCATTTGTACGCTGAGACAGTCGGCGTATTCAAAACGAATTCCTGGGTATTCTTGTCGTAGGTCGCTGTAGTTTCAAGGGCCCTCAAATTCGTTCCATGGCCAAGTTCGGTTTGAGCGTAGGTGCCAATGAATTGGAGTTGAATTGCCTGAAAAGCAAAGTTATCTTCTTTGTTCGGATCCATAAATTTGTGTTATCAATTTTTAGCCTTTAAAAGGCGCTCGAGGGTCGTGAAAAATTCTTGAGATTGACCCTGACGTTTCGTTTCTAAATATAAAGGGCCAATTCTCACCTTCTGGACCCATTCCTCAGCCTGTTCATCATCGGCCTGACCCTGGATGGCTGGCAGAAACATTACAAAGTGGATGGAGAGCGGGAAACCGTCATCACCAAAGACTTCGCTATAATAATTGGTTGATTTACGCACTCTCAGATCTTTGTAAGCTACAAACTACAGGCTACAAAACACAGCTAACTAACCAAACAAGGTGTCCCATCTCATCGCGATTCGTGATATCAGCAATTTCCGAGGCTCCCTCCATCACTGCTACCGTCTAAAATTAGCATTTTTCAAGGTAGTTTTTAAAGTATTTGGCTTTAAGGTATATAAGGAAACGTATTCGATAAAATATTTTTTTTGTATTTTCACCTTCCGCATCGAATTCGCCACCTTCGTCGGCCTGTCCATGAACACGTGCGGGTAGGGGTCAAGGAGCTCGGGCATTTTCAGGACTGCCGCTGACAGCTCGCGGCGTCGTTTGGCGAATGTGGCTAAAATTAGAGCTCCGAGTCATTTTTAAGCAGAGGAAATCAAAAATCCATCCTTAACTTTATTCATAGCTTCCCCGATCAAATTAGCACAAAAACTTACGTCCATATAGCTCATCGGCCAGTGCTTCCGTGCTAAAAGTTGCCTTTTCACGTTCTTCGGTAATTAGCGGATTGTCTCCCTCCCGAATCTGGTGGTTCAAAGCCATTTTTGGAAGCCGATTTGGTTTAAAACCCGCGTCTAAAAATGCGGAAAAATGATTGGATTTTTCTAGAAAATTGATTAAATAGAAAAGAAGGCAAGGTAAGCGAAAAAGTCTTGAGTATTTATTAACAAAAAAATTCGTATAAAATAACGCACTTTAGATCGAAACGGAAACAATAAAATCCTATTATGGCGAGGAAAAGGCGAAAACTGCAGGTGCGCTTGGTTCAATCAACCCCCTTATCAGGATATCCAAACGAGGGGCTGGAAAGAGGCTACGCAGGGTGCACACTACAAGGTTGTCTTCCATATGGCCGGCCTATCACTCGGACGGATACTAGTGTAGTTTTGTGTGCTTTCACTCGGTGGATTCGTCAGAGGGAACGTTGGTTTTGCAGGAAAACGTGTATTCGAAAAGAAATAGATAAATTCAAAAAGCTACGCCTTAAATTTAACCATGGAAAAATCCATGTCCTTGGACAATAAAAATAAAATAAATTTTGAGCGGGATCTGAAACTGATTTTCTTGAAGCCGGCAGCCTAAGGCTATAACTAATACTAAGCGTTTAAGCGTCTTTAACAAAATTTAAACACACAGAGAAACCGGAAGCTTTGACCCCAGTAGTCGACATCCAAGCATCCAGATCCTGCTGGTTTACCTGGGTTAAGCCCAGCGTCAGTTTTGGACAGATTTTAAGATCCAATGGACGGATCCCGTTGAGAGAATGGCTTTTTTCACTACTTCTTTCAGATCAAGCTTCGTAAGTCTTTTTGGAAGTCATCTTCCACAACAACTGAACTCTGTTAAGACGCCGACCGCATCTATCTGTCTTCCGCGTTTAAGCGTGGCTTTTTATGGTTAGCCGGAAATCGCGATGAGCAGCGAAGCGTAGTGAGTTTGGGTGCAAGCTTGCAGAAAAACGCTTTGGCTCTCCAGACGCTAAAAAACTCCGCGGAATTTTCAAATTTTTCTAGGTTCAGCTTCATCGTCCGTCAGAACCGGAGGAAGGGACGTCATTAACGCACTGATGCCTGCTCGAATAGCTCAAATAATCGAAATTTCTGGCTGCGTATATCGTACAAGAATGACGAGCGATCGTTGTTCGAAAAAATTTTGCAAAAAGCCATTTTTTCCGAAAGTCGTATTTTCAAAAACCATGTCTCCAAAAATCAGTATTCGAAGATTATCATTGCTATTTCATACCCTTTGCGGCCATTTCTGATTGATAGCTGCACGAAAATTTTTCGAAATTCTGATTTTGCAAAACGTGATTTTTCAAAAGAAAGATTTTTTACCATACAGTGATTTTCAAAAATTCCATTTTTCGAAAATGTGTAAGTAAATACATATAATTCCACTTGAATTGAACTGCCCTCAATTGACAATTCCCAAACTCGTCGACTCCCAATTCGACCCATTCCAAGTTCCGGAGTTCCCCCCTATTGACGTCCCGTCGTCTTGGCCTCCTTTTTGAAGAGGAGGTCAGAAGGGGAATGACGGGCCCCTCCATCGGGGGAATACGAAAAAGAAAGAATGGGCCATGGCCACAAGAGGCCCCTAGGGCCACTAGTGCCAAGCCCCCCCCCCACCCGATTTCTTCTTCTTCCCCCTTCGACTGGCATAAGCCTCCGTTGGCAGACACACAACATTTGGACGGCCCCCACTCCTGCCTGGGATTATTATTGTTAGGCCCGGGGAGGAGAAAGTCGATTCACTTCTGAAGATCTTCTTTCTAAAAATTGTTGGCTTTTCGGGCTGTTGGCCTGAAACTTGCTATTTACAAGACGGCGCTACAGTAGCCCGCTAGAAAGATCGGCCGATGTCTCTATATCCGATTATGCTCTTTTTTGTAGCTTTCAAGTTCCAAAATCAACCTGGCTCGACAAAGAGTATTTGATCGTGAGGCGACATTGCATTTTTGGCTCAAATGCTTTGAGTCAAATACATTGTGCAGTTTTTCGGAATAGCCGCTTTTCCGAGTGCTGACTTTTCCGAGGGATCGTTCTTCGCAGTAAAGACTTTCGGAGTAGTTCGCACCATTTCTTGGAATGGCTGACTTTAATTTTGAAAACAAATTAAATCGTCAAACCAAATTGCATGCAAATTCGCACGACGAGCACTCATGTTCACCCCACCCGCAAGTATTTTTTTCAGAGACAACTATTCCGCGAAAAGGAACAGCAAACGCTTGTTTCGAATTCGATTCTCTACCGCAAGAGATATTATTTGTTTTTTTTTGCCAATGATTCAAAATTAAGACCCTGGATAGGGAGAAGACCCTAACTTCCCTATCTACCAAATCCTTACAACCCTATCGACTGCAAATCAGTATTTAGAATGGGTTTGGAAGCCTAATCAGCAGAATCCCAGATTTCTCGACGGTCTTGCGACCCTACGACAACGCAAAACCCTTACCTGAAGCCAGCAAAGGCCTTGGAAACCTTGCAGTTGGCGAAGAATTGGAAGCTGACCATTTGTTGATTCGGAGGAACCTTCTTTGTACTCCTTTTCTGCGAAAAACGAGTTTTTATTTCTAACGGCTCCGGCCATTCACAACAAGTTTAGCAAGTGCGCTACCGTAGCATTTTCAAAATTAATGGTCACGTGCTTCGCGTCTTGCTTCTTGCGCGCTCCGCACTTCCCTGTTAATTGCGTCCCACAGTCAGCTAATCTCGGTTCGCTTCGCATAGCCTCTGCAGTTTGAGACATTATGCACTTTCGTACCCTCCCCAAAGCCACGCCGTTCCGCATGTATTTCGAACCCAGCTTCTGGGTATTGAACCGTGGCGAGTTAGTTTCTTGCCCTCCTTCATTCGCCCAATTCCCCCATCTCTTCTGGTTTTTGTTTTCTGGGCGCACGGCCGGGGGGCCCATCTCATCGTGGGTGCACGGGCCCATGCCAAATCCAATAACGCCAACACTTCAACTAGGGCCATGAGGGGAAGGGAAGACAGAAGGAGGTGGAGAAGCGGAAGATAGGAAGGGGAAGGAAGATGGGCAACGATTCACGGCTTCTTCTTTGCCCAACTCAATGTCGGAACTAATTCGGTTTCCCTCAAATACGACTGTTGGCCGATTTCCGGTCCAATTTTCAAAGTTTTGGGGTCGATTGGGAGGCCGAACTAAATTTTTGCACACACGGGTCTTTTCCAAAGAACAGTTTTTCTGGATTTTACTCGTTCTTTCTCGCTGTCACTCTCTCGATCTCTCGTCTATGACCTCATCGGCCCTTTCTCTCTCGGTCACTTTATATGTCTCTCCATTCTATAATCTCTCGCCGCTCTGCCTCTTTCTCTCGTCTTCACCATATCTTGTTCTCTCAAGAAATCTCTCGTGACCTTTACCTGTCACCTCTCTCTCTCTCTCTCTCTCTCTCTCTGTCTCGCTCTCTCTCGCTTTCTCTCGCCTTCTCGCTTTCTCTCTGCTGCACACACTCTTTATAGGTCCGCTCTTTTTAAAAAATCATATATTTTCAAAGATTGATAATTTTCAGAAAATGCGAAGATGACCAGAAGCCTGCTTTTCTGTCTCCCGTTTTTATTCTCCGGGATTTCGGCCCTCCGAAAAGTCAAAGACTTCGAGAGTCAACTCTACGAAGATCTACTCTATGATTACAACCGGATACCTCGGCCAGTCAAAAATTCATCCGATATCTTGACCGTGGAAGTTGGGGCTTCACTGATACGGATTATCGATGTGGTAAGGAATTTCCGAATCGCCTAATATGTCCCCTTTTAGGACGAGAAAAACCAGGTCCTCACCACGAATTTATGGCTGGAAATGGTAAATTTTTGCTGCTTACCAGTAGGGGCATGGCAAAATTTTAGCAATGGTTCGACTCAAAGCTAACGTGGAATCCCGAGAAGTATGGAAATATCACAAAGCTCCACATTCCGAGTGAATTCCTTTGGACCCCGGATTTGTGCTGTATAACCAAGTACGTCATCGATGCAGAGGAACATTACTTTGTCAATTTAGTGCTGCTGGAGATCCGGATATTACGATTCTAACGGATGCCCTTGTCACATACGATGGTCACGTCTTCTGGCAGCCACCGGCTATTTACAAGTCTTTTTGTCCTGTAAGTTTTGGTAAAATACAAGGAAGCGCGATACCTGTGAAGTTCCTGAGCCATGTTAATCTAGAGAAAATGCTAAAAATCGCTATTCGATGCCCTAAATTATTTGCATCTTATGAAAATGATAGCTAGGTGCTGTTGAATTCTTACGGTTCTTTGAAGCCGCGAATTTACCGTCCTAGAATTGAAAAATTAAATTGCTCATTTCGAAAAGCCTATGGCTGTAAAAATTTTTAATTCAGATCGATGTCACCTGGTTCCCCTACGACGAGCAGAACTGCTCGATGAAGTTCGGCACCTGGACCTATACTGGTCAATATGTGGATTTAAGGCAGCTGCCGAGAGGTTACTTGGGAACTCTTACAAAAATCCAACCCGTTTTTAGAAGAAGTGGTGCGCGATAAAAACGACGGAGAGAGTGATATCGAGTATTTGATGCAAGGCATGGATCTCTCCTTTTTCTATCAGTAATATCAGAGATTCTAGGCTGAGGAGATCGATTCTTTTAGATCCGCCGAGTGGGACCTACTGTCGTTGACATCGAAAAGACAAGCGGTGCTCTACGCTTCTTGCTGCGGGCCTGAAAAGTAAGTTAATTCTGATGTGGATGGATTTTAAAGGGGGGGGGGTGCCAGTTAGGGCTTACAATTAGATGTCGCAGTCAATCAATTCCGTAAATTCCAGATACGTCGACATCACCTTCGAATTCCTGCTTAGAAGAAAGACCTTGTTCTTCACTTGTAATTTGATTCTACCCTGCTTCCTCATCTCGATCCTGACCACCTTCGTATTCTACCTCTCCGACCACAAGATCACGTTCTCGATTTCGATTCTCGTGACATTGACTGTGTTTTTCTTGGTAAGTCCAAGGGTTGATATCGTCGCGTCTCTCTCTCCTCTCTCTCTCTCTCTCTCTCTTTACTCTCTCTCTCACTCTCTCTCCCATACAAAATTATATCGATCGCTTTTTAGGTCCTGATCGATCTAATGCCTCCCACTTCCCTGGTTATTCCGATGTTTGGCCGATACCTGATCACTACGATGATTTTGGTCGCTTTATCTACGGCAGTCTCTGGTGAGCATTGTATGACTCTTTATAGACATTTCTCGGCTAAAGCTACGATAAAATCCATTTTTCAGTCGTTACGGTCAACTTCCGTTTCGCTCTGGATCGGCCCATCGCATGTCACCTTGGATTCAGACGCTGTTTTTGCAGTGGCTACCAACGTAATTGTTCTTTCCTTTCCTTCCTTTCCTTTTCCCTGATTTTGGAATGTTTCCTTGATGATCCTTATCCGCGTATTTTCTAGAATCCTGATGATGAAGCGTCCAAAGAAACCGGAAAGCGATGTGAAGCCACCAGCACTGGTAGATGCGGCTAGCCAATTCCTGGAGCCAAACAGCAAAGGACCGATCATTATCGAGCTCCAAACGATGTTTTCAAGAATGGAAGAGGAGTCGCCAGAAGTCTACTTAGAAAGCAAGTAAACAACTTGCTTCAGGAATCTTCGGATCTACCGCCGATATACGATTGGACGAGGTTGAGGTAGCTTTTACGCCTTAAAAAATATGATTATAATTTGCTGTCTGAAGCCTTAAGCATCAGCCTAAGCATGTGCTTAAGGCCAAGCCTAAGCTACGATACCTTTTAGACCCGTCTCTACGCCCCGCCAGAAGAAAAGGAGAAAATGGCCCCGACCGTGGCTTTCAAGAAACCAAAAAAGAACACGCAGCAGATGAACGATATTATTCATAATTTGCTACAACAAGTCCGATTCATCGCTGAACATTTTATACAACGAAAGAAATAGGAGATATGGAACAACGGTTACCCGCAATTCTTCCACTTTTTTTTAGATCTCTGATGATTGGACTTTTGTGGCCATGGTTTTGGATCGGCTCTTTTTCCTCCTTTTCTTTCTTGCCTTCGGGACCTGGCGACCAGCATTTTACAGGTAATTTTCAGCGGTAGTGCAGTCAAAAAATCGGAAATTTTAAATCGGAAGAGCATACACGAGGCGTAATTCGGTATAGACGATATGAACCAGCACGAAACTGTTAAAACTGAGTCCCACTGCCAGGCCCGTAGGAGGGGTCCAGGGGCTCTGCCCCCCGAAATCGGTCGAGGGTCCGAAAATTCCTAAGGGTACCTTATGATTTTTAGTTGACTAATTTTTCTGCCTCCGGCGCTGTTAATTACTGTTTTTGAAACAGTTTTTACTTATATAAAGCCCATTTTTCAAAATTTTTTGACTGCGGCGCTGGTTTTTCATTCGTGAATTCGCAGCATTAAAAAATTTTCGCCTGTGGTACCTTTCTGCCGTGTTTTCACAGAATTTGAGTGTAGCGAACGTTTGTTACGATTTTTTATCCTACGGGCGCATTATTGACGCGATTTTCGGATGTTTTAAAGTGGCGTCCAGGAGAGGGGGCGAGGGGGGTCACCCGTATTTTGCCCCCCGAAATTCGGTTCCAGTACGGGCCTTCCCTGCCTTTAATATACTTAATAAGAATGGTTATAAGTATTTGATATCCTAATTTTAGGCCCCATCCTTGTGGGACAATCGCCAATCGATGAACCAAACGCTGCCCAGCAAACCGCTGGGGATGGCTAATATATTCTCGACCAAACCTGTTGTCTAAACTTCTAATTTTATTCCAAACTAATTACTTTCTCCCCTTCTCTTCCTCCCTCCCTCCCTCCCCTGCTCTGTTTCTCTCTCGCTCTCTCTCCCTCCCCCTCTATCTCTCCCCCTCTCTCTCTTCCCTCTTTCTCCCTCTCTCTCTTTTCCATTTAACCAAAAACCAAAATATTGCTTTCACTTATGCTAGTCCTTTAACTGACCAAATACGAGGTAGTCTGGATTCTGAATAAATTATTGCAGTAATTACCAGCTGATTTCACCTGTATTTTGCAAGTTTTATGGCTTGTAGTGTCTTTAATAGCACAAGAGTTATATCCAATTTTTATTCTCCACAGGAAATCATTAAAACCGAGTATAACACAGATGGCTTTCACGCAGAGTTGTTTTTTTGTTTCGGCGATCAACAATGTATGGGAAAGATGGTAAAATTCCAGAAAAAGTATAGAAAAATAGGACCGTAATTCGCTAAGGGAGTTTGAATAAAACTTGTATAAACACGCACTAATGATAGGGTACTTTTAAAGGGACTGGAAAAACTCGAAAAATGGTCGTCGTGCTACCAAAGAATTGCCGTACCGGGTGGGGAGGTGTAAAGAGGAGTGTAACGTAAGGTATTTCCCAAGATTTTGTATATAGGTATAGGTATTCTGGGGTCCGTAAATTGAATAGTGGGGGAATTACCGTATTCGCTGGAGGAAGATGGGGTGTGGATAGGTGTAAAGTGGAAAATTCGTAGTAGAAAAAAGGGTCCAATTCGGGGCTATTCGCTTGAGCATTCAGGGGAAAAGCGGCGGCCCCAGAGAGTTTCCGGGGGGATCGGAAAGTTGCGGAAAAGTTTTATTTTTGGAGAATTTTACAGAAATAAAAAGCCAGATACAGAAAATTGCATTTTTCGGTTTCGGAGAAATGTGTACAGGTATCGGGATTTGGGGGTGAGGATGGACTTTCTCTAAGAACTAAAAACTTTTTTAGAATTTTTTTAAAACAGTTGAGGCGGCTTTTAACTGTTTAAAGGGAGCGTGACAGCAACTTCAAGGCTCCAATCAAAAAAACTTGTTTTAAAGGCAGTTTGTTTTGGTAGGGAATTTCGCCAAAAACTGACCTGCTTGGCACGTTTTAGCGAATTTTCTTGCCATCATCGCCCATTCAAACTAGTTTTTGATTTTTTTTAAATTTTCAAAATAAGCTAGTTGAAAGAAGAGCCTTTTTAAGCTATTTTCTTGCTGTCATCGTCCTTTTAAAACGGATGTTTACAAAAGGCGTGGTTTTACACTAATTTAAATTCAATTTTACCTCTGATAAAGCCCATCCTCACCCTCAAAAAAGCCAAGCAAATCGTGAAACCGGTTTTGTGATCGGGGTTTGGGGGTGAGACACACACACACGGGGATGTCCTACATGTCTATAGTATGTATCGTAGGTATCGATATATAGAAATTCCCATAATAATTCGACACGCGAGGGAGAGTCTCTATTTTCAACACGTCTGGGCATAGGGTTTGGCGGATAATACTTGGGTGGTCGGGTGACCGCCCCAGGACCCTGATTTTGATGAGGGGACCCGGGAGTAGCGTGGGGGTTCCGCGCCTAGTGGTAGTGTTGAGGGGCTCCTCGTTGAGAGTGGCATCACTGGGACGTAGGCGGGACGGATCTGGAATTGGTAAGGTATTATTTATAAAAATTAATTAAGGGGGAAAAATCGGCGAAACAGTAATTTTGGCATCCCTAATGAGTGTACAAAGCTACTTTAAGGGAAATAGTCAAGGTTAGGCCTTTGAAAATCCGGAACGCAAAAAAAATAAAAAATTTTTATTTATCTCACCAGCTGCACGGTGTTGTTGACCAGCTGCTGATCCTTGGGCTCGAGCAGTCCAAAGATTTTGCTGATCTGCGACATGTGCGCCAGCACCATTGCGCATTGTGGCCGAAGGTCGAGAACGCCTGAAAAAATTTGACCTTGAGAGAGAGAAGAGACAGAGAGAGAGTGAGAGAGAGAGAGAGGGAGAGGGAGAGGAAGAGAGACAGAAAGAGAGAGAAGGAGAGAGAGAGAGAAGATAGATAATTTACATCCACTTACCCATCTGATCCCAATGATTTGTGTACAAATGGCCACAGCATTGCCATAGTAGCCGTATTACCCGTCGGCAGTGCCCTTGGAAGTCACCCGAAAATGTTGAACCTGAAAAATAAAACATCAGCATCAAATTTTGAATCTTTTAAACGTCTAGAATTTTTGCCATCTCCAAAATGGTCTCTGCTAGCTTGCCCGGTCGTCGTTTTCTTAGTTTTCTAGGTCCCTTGACTAAAATCTAGCCACTCGGCCACATCTTCCACCAACATCTCCTTCTCCGTTTTCGCGGGAACCCCATAATTATGGGTAATGTCTGTCCATCTGTCTGTGTGTCTATCCATCTGTCCCTAAGATTTGCGTGTGTCCGTCCGCTACACCTCACGCCTATTTACGATGCGCCCCCGAGGGTGGGAGACGCTCGTGTGGAAGTTGCGCAAATATATCGCCTGGGCAGCAGCAGCCACCACCAAATCTGATAGCAAAATCTGAGACAATCTTGGGGTATAGCCTTGGGGCGCTAGGGTGTCAGCAGGGGTGCCAAGATAAGGAAAAATGGCCAGGGAAGCTACTGGCGGGTGCAGATAGTATGAAAAAGTGTAAACAGCTTACAAGGCGCATTTTTTAAAGGCGTTTTGAAGTGAAAATCGTAATTTGCGTGTTTTAGTAGGGTGGTTCTCGTTCCTTTGGTGAGCTAGCAGGGAACATTTAACGGGACAAAATGTTTAAAAATCTCAGGATTCTGAATTTTTAATTTTTCTGGGTACGTACGGGTACCGCAAATAAAGTATTGTTTTCTCCATTTTCAAGGGTTGATCCAGCTAGAGCAGGCTTCGCAAGCTAGCAGAGATCAATTTCGATTTTTCGCTATACTAGTATCGCTACTTGCGTAATTTGTTGGTCTACTTACCGTATCTGGTAGGGAAGAAGTCCTCGTTTTTAGAGTTTTGCTCGCAAAATGACATCACGCAATCGATGTATTGGGGAGCCGTGTAGGTGTGCCGTTTCCCTCGCTCGTCCACGAAGATGGCTTTGCTAAAAAATACAATAATTTGGTTACGTCATAAACGTCGCAGGTTCTCAAAATTCTCAAAAACTTCTAGTTTTGTTAAGGCTTGTCTTTTCGAGGAAAACGTATTTTTCAGGACAATGTCAGCCGTTTTTCAATGTTTTCAAAAGATTTGAGGCTTTTTAAGCTATGAAAATCGTATATTTGCCAGAACATCGGTTATCTACGGTATATGTTTGTGTTCTTATTTTTATAGATTGTCTGGGCCCTGTTGCTGACCTCGTGCCGGGAAACGACATTGCCGGACACGTCACCGGCGTGCATAATTCCGATATGCTGCCACATAACGCGTTGACGTGGTCGAACAGGGCGAGGGCTGCAAACGGGTACAATATAGTCTTGATCGATTTCAAATATATTTAAGGAATTGATTAAAGGCACTCAAAATCGTAAAAATTCAACCCCTTTAAAAAAATATTCTTGAGCGAAAAATTCCGCAAAAGTGAATTAAAAAATGATTTAGGTAATATTTTAAGGTAAACAAACGTAGTAGAAGTAACATATCAATTTAAGGCAAATTAATTTTAAAGTCACAGAGACACCAATTTCTAAGTTAAAAACCCACTATGCGTCGCCAGCCACTCGTTGGTGTCGACGCCGCCGGGGATTTGGGAGAAGCGCTCGATCATCTGAAATTTATAGAATTTATAACTTTTAGTTTGTGTTTTATTTTATCCTAGTGCGTTCCCCTTCCCCGGAATCAAATTAGCCACCCAAGCGAGCAGCAGACAGCCCATGTGTCTGTTTTTTTCATTAGGGTGTGTCAGATCGGATTTTTCACCGGTCGAGCCGGAAGGGGAAATCGACCGGATGTACAGCGATATTTTTAAGGGTTCCGGGTTCGAAAAATCTGTCTAAAAATAGCTTTAACGCGTTAATAGGCAAATGCTGTTAAATCTTAAGGGCGTCGTCATACATATCGAAAATTCAGGCCAGAATTGATGGAAAATAACGCTAAAATCAGCTTTACGGCATTGCCTAGCCGAATTGCTATAATAAAGACAATTAAAATCGGCCTTATTTGTAAAGCGCTTAGTTGTCATAATCGATTAACAAAAGTCAATTTAATGAAATGTCGTGATTCAAGGTAAGACCCTTTGAAAATGAACTTTATCTTTATTTTATCAATTTATTTTAAACGGATTTTATCAGGCTTTCAAAGCAAATTACGACATCCCAAAAATTTTCTGGTAACCAATAGCCAGTTTTTATCAGAAACACCTAAAAAACCTTAAAAGAACTGTTTTAAGAAGCACAAAAATGGAGAAATCAACGTGGAACGGTTGGTGAATCCAACAATATACAGTTTTCTAGGTAATTTATGATATAAAATGCTGTTTTGCATATACCCTGAAAATGCTATTTTCAGGGTATATGCTTGCCAGATTTCCTAAGGAAAAGCTGTGAAAAACCTCTAATCCAAAAATTCCGCCTCAAAACTCACTTCAATCGGGTCATCCCCGGCCATCGACAGTGGCCGTTTCCGGACCAGGCCAATCCAGTTGCCTATTTTGCCGGAAACGGGCCGAAAATCGCGCGCAAAAATGAGGCGCCGGGATGGCAGAACCAAATGGCTGGGTGGGGGCAAGGCGCGCGGGCTGGATGCCCTCGGGGCATTGGCCGGCCGGGTATTGATTGGCTACGGTCGCAGGGGCGCAGAATGGGCGCCAGGCGCCCAGCTGCCGCCTGCTTCCCATGGCCATTCGAAAAGGGTGAAAATTGGGCAAAAAATGCTGCGGAAACAGCTGAACAAAGCTGGACAATTGTGTGGGAGGGCAATTTAGCGGTTTTGGGAATTTTGCAGATTTGGAAACTTTGGAAAATAGATTGAGGGGATTCGAAGAGTTGGAAATATGAGTTAAGCCTATTTTTTTTAATTCTCGAAGCCCGGAAATTAGCTAACAGTATTCGTAGCAATTGCTATGGGGAAATTTACGCATATTAACATTTTAAAGGGTTTAGTAAGACGCCGAGTAATCCTATCCTAGCAGAAAGTAGTTTGTCTAGACGATTTCTCGGCCGTGAGGCCGAATTTCGCGCTGATTTTTGGCATGGAGGCGGAGAAATGCATTTGCCAGACACGCATTTTTTTGTTTTTCGAAATTCCTTCATTTAACGATTTTACAAGCAAAATAGTAAAAATCCTTAACAAAATGTGCAACGAGCCGTGGTGTCCGGGGCATAACTCTAAACCCTGATGGAATTTCGGGCTGCGATTTGGACAACCTATGCATTTGATAGTGGGGATTACGCGCATCTTATTATCTTTATAAATTTTCAGCAGTTTAAAATTCAAAAATTGAATTTTGTAAAGTGACCAGAAGGTCTCCCTCCCGGGATCATTGCGTGGCCCTTTCCTTCGCCCCGTCCCCTCCCCAGGGCAGAAGAGGCCTTTCCCACCGGTTGTTCCCATCTGCCCCGTGGTGTAGTGGATTTGCGCCCGGTCTACCACCCGTATGGTCGTGGTTTCGAATCCTGAGCGAGTTATCCTTTTTGCTTTTTGATAGTTTAGCAACAAAGGCGGTTTCTAGGCTCTCGGTGTGCTTTCTTCTATGTATTTCTAGGTTTAGGCGTGGCTCTCGCTCTAGCGCCGCAGCCGGAAGGAAATCTCCTTTCCCAGGCTCTCGCGCAGCAGGCCAATGATGGGTCCTTGATCGAGGCTATTGCGCCGCAGGCCTAATCCGGGAGAAAAACCAGTAACTAGCGCCGCAGGCAAAAGGGTTCTAGCCGAGGTTTAGGCCTGGCTCTCCCTCTAGCGCCGCAGGCCAAAGAAAAGATCCTTGGCCCAAGCTCTCGCGCCGCAGGCCAAAGAATGACGCCTTGACCCATGTTCTTGCGCCGCAGGCTAAAAAAAGAAGGTATTCAGATTCATGTTTCCTGGACGGGTCCAGTGGAAAAGGGGCCGCGAAGCGGTCTTTTCCACTGGTAGTTATATGATGTGGATAATAAAGTTAAAAATTAAAACAGGGGTCTTAGCTCCGTTAAGGTAACCTTAAGGTTTATATTGATTGTAGTTTATAAATAGTAAAAAAATTCATGCTCTCAAATTTTCACAACATCATTCCGTTCCGGATTCAAATCAGAAAATGGCATAAGTAGGGTCGACAAATCGTCAAGTACTGATAGCGGTATACGGCCTTATTAAAAGCCGCGCTCCGAGCGATCAAAAATTAGATAATTTGAAGCCACAATGAAGTAGCAATTCTAACAAGTAAGCTACAAAAATTGGAATTGCAACATCTAAAGTTAGCAAGAAATTGCCACGACGAGTTCTAAACAGATTTTGACAATTCGGCGGTGTTTTCGGTATTTTTATAAATTTAATACCAAAAAACGAACCTGATCATCGATCGAATCGCAAACACATAAGTTCTGCTCGGGAGGTACAACTTTCGTTTGGGCGGTGTGCGAGACGGAAGCGCCACGCCGGGTCACCGCCGTCTCCTTCTGGTCCTTGCCGCGTCGGGATCGACTGAAAAATGGAGATATATCAAAATTCCTTCAAAAAAGTAGCCCGCAAATCCCTAATACGATTTGTGCTTTCAATATACCTAGGATGACCTCCAAATACCAAATATCAACATTTTTTAATGATTTTTAAGAGCTTTGATCTCGTAAGCTCACCATATTAAATTATTTAACCACCAGAACCATTCAGAAGTGCGTAGTAAAAATATATACGACATGATAGGGTAAATAGAAGTGGAAATAACTGATTTTTGGCATACGTCTGCTCATTAAAACACGGTATATTAATGGGTATCATCTGGATCGATCCACTCGATTTCGCGGTAAATATTATAAAGCATTAATGACAGCAATATCTACGCTTTTTGACTATATGCTGATTGCAAGGCGTATCGCGTCGTAAGTTTCGACATCCAAAGTCCCTTTAATTGTTAAAGTAAGCCGAAAGTACGTTACGCACCAAATAACCGTCTCCAATATCGTCGACAAGCTTTTCATCAAAATCGACGAGCTCTACGAGTAGAAAAATAGCAAAAATCAACCTTCCGGAATCCAGCGAGATCAGTCTCTAGCCCCCAAAATAGTGCACGCCACTTTTCGCGGCCGGGCCTCCAGAATTCGTGCAGCTCCCCCTTATCTTCAAAAACCCCCCATCCACTGCCTCCCCGCCGCTTCCTTCCAAATTCTGATTCACCTGGGCTCGTTGTGCCGGTGTTTGTCTGTCTTTTCGACGGTTTGTATGTCTGTCTTTTGGCCTGTATTTCTGTGTGTGCTTCCACAAACTTTCGCAATCGTTTTTTAGGGCCCCCGGCCCGGGGGTTACGACCAAAAAATGGATTCACCTCCGCGGGTCGGGTCGCTTTGACTTGTTTGCCTTGAAAACACAACGGCAGGAGAAGGAGGCGCAGGGGTTTTTTCTTCTGCTTTTCTCAGTGCTTTTTATTTGGGGGCAGGGCGTGAAAAATAGCTATCTTTTATTTTTTCTTTGCGGGGACATGTGAGAAAGGGGAAACCGCAGAGTTCGCCTAGAGATTTGGGCGCTAGGATCAAAGTTTGATTGACCGGGGAATTGATTTTCCAACGACCATCGAAAGCCGATAATTTTTTAAGGCTTTTAAGAAAGAAGAAACAGTTTCGGACTCTTTAATCGCAAAAAGATGCGTCAAAACACCCTGATTTCGATCAAAAGCTTTGATTTTGTACAACAACTTCTCACATGCGGTCAAAAATCTATATTTTTTACTTTTTCTGGGATCTTAGTGTTGGATCTTACCGATTTTGAATATCTTAATTTTAGAAAACTCAGATTGCTTAGGAATGCGTTTAAGCACCTTAAAAATAGCTTTCAAAAGCCGAAAAACTTGAAAAATGGTCTAGCAAATTGACGCTTTTGGAAAGGCATTTTTCGGCGGATTTTGATAATCACAATAATTACAGTGTTTCAACATTACCGACTTTCCCGGTTTTTCATCAGCTTCAAGAGTTCAAGTACCACCCGTCCATTACCCCCAAAATATATTCTGTAAATGCCCTCAACTCTGAACCCGCAAATCACAAGTTTTCTATTTGCCTCTGAATTTCTTTGCCATTTCTGCAGCCACAAAAAAGCGGTCGCTCCGCCGTTCTTTGGATGGAAACGGACACGATGGGAACGTGGGAGATTTGTTTGTCGTCGTCGTCGTTCCTTGCGCGATTGAAATTCGATTCTCCGATTCGATAGCGCCCCAAAAAGAGAAGCCAAGCAGCAGCAGACTTCCGTTTCCGTTCCCCCAAAGAAGGTGGAAATCAAAAATCGGATGTCAGCCTGGAGAATCGCCCGATTTCACGGACCACGTGAGGCGCGGGACCAGGGTTTGATAAAATCTTGGAGGTAGCCGGGTCGGTATCGGCAGGAAACAAAAGGAAAAAAGCCGAAAAATGGCTGGAGCCTGGCCAAGAAGGGGGTAGGATAAGGATCAGTGATGGATTGGGGGTACAGAAATGGACAAGTTTAGGTTTGGGGGTGGGTCCGGTATAGGTAGAGATGTTTTTTGATGATTGGAAAAGATAAATGTAGGTATTTTTCGCCAGAGTGAGAGAGAAAGTTAGAGAGAGAAAGAGCATCAAGCTCCATTTTTACCTCTTGCTCCTATCCTTTCGCTTGATAAAATTGCAGCCGTCA